GTATTAGTATCTCTTCAGAAACAGAATCGATAATAAGTGATCACGAACAATCTATCAACAAGGATGAAAGTAAACATTCTACTAACAAGGATGAAAGTATTAGTATTTCTTCAGAAACAGAATTAAATAAACACGAACATTCTACTTCCGAAAAGAATAAAAGTAGTGGTATTTTTCGAGAAACAGAACCAATAATAAGTAAATATGAACATTGTGTTTTTAATGATGGAATTGTTACTGATTATGCATCAGTCAAACAAAACAATGATTGGGTCAAACAAAATCTTGGGTTCTCATTTGGATTTCATCAAGTTGATGTATGGTGATAGATCTATCGCTGATTGCACAACATTGCATATCATCTGGGAGTGTAAACAATTGTAAATTGGTGTGGCTAATTTGTATAATTGAATCAGGTAAATATTCTGTCCAGTTCCATCTGTTTAGGTTTGGAATAAATTTTTTATAAAATTCATCTGTATGCAGGAACAGGGGACCGCGGTTATTGGTTATTTCGAAATCGAATGAGGGCATTATTATCTTATTTGCTATAACAAACATTCATTGACACACACACACACACACCAAACTTTTATCAAAATAATGGACGAAGCCGGTCGGTATGATCATCACTTATCTGCAATTGGATCGTTATCGTTGGAAAATGGAGTGACACAAAATGAAGTAATCAATAATAATTGTAGTGCAGCAGAAAGATTAAGTCGTGCAGCGTTTGTACGTGAATTTGATCGACGTGAAACATTCAAGTACTTGACCAATAGTTATTCTTCAGATTTGTGCGATAAATTAGCATTAAATGGTTTTTATTATGATCATACTGTGAAAAAAATTAAATGCTTTGCGTGTAGTTTAACACTATCAGAATGGAATCCAGACGATGATCCATTATACAAACATCAATCACGATATATTTGTCCGTTGTACACGGACTGGAAAAGTCTTCCATCAGGCTCATTACTCAATATTCCCATTGATAATAACGTTTTTCAGCGGCTTGTTTCAAATGTACGAATTGATGCTCCAGAATACTCTTCACAAATGAAACGTTTAAGTTCATTCGGAAATTGGCCATCTGCACTCAAACAAACTCCACATGATATGGCAGAAGCTGGTTTTTTTATACTAATGTTGGTGATCGAGTGATATGCTTTCATTGTGGCATTGGTTTGAGACAATGGCAACCACAAGATTTACCTCACATAGAACACATTACTAATTCACCGTTGTGTCATTACGCTCAGCAAATTGACCAGAAAAAAAAATATTTTGAAATGCATGTCACTGCCGGTCTTCCAATATTCTTAATGTAACACACTTATATAGAACGAATGTTGGGGAATTTTCGCATGGTATTTTTTCGTTGATAAAAGTGGAGAAAAAAGATT